TTACTGACTCCAATTGAAAACCTGATTAACATGTACTGATTTCATTTAAACTCCTTTTATCTGAAATAGTCCTATTTCTCTTTGTCTTTTGATAATATTGCCTTTTTTTTTTTAAAGAGATAGAGTCTCACTTTATCGCCCTTGGTAGAGTGGTGTGGCATCAGAGCTCACAGCAACCTCCAACTCCTGGGTTCAGGTGATTCTCTTGCCTCAACCTCCCGAGTAGCTGGAATGGCAAGCGCCCGCCACAATGCCTGGCTATTTTTTGGCCTGGGTGGGGTTCAAACCTGCCACCCTCAGTATACAGGGCCGGCACCCTACCCACTGAGCCACAGGTGCTGCCCTAATATTGCCATTTTTGAATGGCCAATTGTCATATAAAGCTATTTCTTATGTATACTTTTAATCAATCAGTCCTTTTCTATTCCTAGCCACATCTGTACCTCACACACATTTTTAGTGGGCTTAATAACCACTCATCTTTCTAACTTCCAATTTCCAGAATGTTGCCATTAGATATTTTCTGGGCTCTTCAGCCTTGTGGGCTTTTACCTTTTTTTTAGACCATCAACAACATCATTATACGGCCTTTTCAGTAGGGAGAGTAAATGAATATGCAAGTATTATTAGGAATTCCGTTTACTGTGTCTGCACAAAGAGACAACATCCTGTATCATGGTCCTACTGAAACAGCAGTTTATAACCTTGCCTTTCTACCTAATTTTCTCATAGTTGGCTGCTTGCCTTTGAGCTCTCAGTTGAAATGACATCTCCTGTTGTCTTCTCTGATGTATCCTATCAATTAATTTTACTTGTCAGCACTAAAACATTATTTTGCTTTTGTGCCTGCTGTTGCCTATTTTTAAGGCCAGGCATGTCTGTATCTCCCCACTGGAATGTAAACTCCATAAAAACAGACTGTGTTGTTGACTATAGTATATTGTGGTAAAACCAGCCAGTAACCCCTAAAACGTGGCTGGTACTCAAAAAATACACTGCACAGAGGTTAAAAACATACATGGTGGAGTCAAGCAGATGTACATTCAAATCTTGGCTCTGCCACTTACTAAATGACTCTCTTTAACACTCTCTTAGGCTTTACTTCCTATGATAGGGTTACTGTGGGGAATTATGTATGTAAAATTTATATTAATAAAAGCACTTGACACATTGCCAGGCACAAAGTAAAGCTTCAATAAATATTGATTTGTATTATATGAACAATAGCACCTACTAAGATGTTAGGGAAAAAACTCTTAGGTGGGGCAAAGTGGCTCACACCTGTAATCCCACTACTCTAGAGGCTGAGGTGGAAGGATCCTTTGACATTAGGAGTTTGAGATCAGCTTGAACAAGGACAAGACTTATCTCTACTTAAAAACAGGAAAACTAGCTGGGCATTTTGGCAGGTGCCGGTAGTCCCAGCTACTCAGGAAACTCGGGCAGGAGGAGGGTTGCTTGAGCCCAGGAGGTTGAGGTTGCTGTAGCACTCTAGCATGGAAACAAGAGTAGTACTCTGTCTCAAAACAAAACCAAAAAACAAAACCAAAAAAAAAAAGGAAGAAGAAGAATGAAAGGGAAAAGGAAAAAGAAACTCTTCCTTAAATGAGCTTTGACACACTAAATACTCTAAAGGTGGTAAGAAAAGCAATTCCACTCTGAAGCTACACGTCTAGATTTGAATTCTAAATCTGAAACTCATTAGCAATATGATTTTGAGCAACTTACTTTACATCTTTGTACCTCAGTTTCCTTATTTGTAAAAATGGGTATATCAACTTTAGGAAGGAGCTAAGGACACGTAAATATGCAGAGCAGCACTGGACACATAGTAAGCTCTCAAATAGTCAACATTATTTCCTGATTCTTTTCACCATCCTGCAGGTATAGCCACCTCGCCCACTGTACAATGAAACTGTAAAGTCATAATGACTCTGCCTCTTCCATACTGCAGGCCTAGCTGATGGCTTATGATTCTTTGAAGAGTCTATTTGGGTGTTAATTAAGTCTTTTTCTCCCTACATTTTCATTTTATCACAGTCTTATTTTTCACTTTCAAAGTGTTTGTCACTCACAGACTTTATACATCCTTCAAATTATGTCTGAAGCAAACATTCACTGCTTTAGTCCTTATTGTCTCTCCTTCTCACCTTTCTTAGCCTTTCAATTTTCTTTCATTTTTTTACTTATTGTTGTTGGAAACAGAGTCTCACTTTGTCGCCCTTGGTAGATTGCCGTAGCGTCACAGCTCACAGCAACCTCCAGCTCTTGGGCTTAGGTGATTCTCTTGCCTCAGCCTCCCAAGTAGCTGGGACTACAGGCGCCTGCCACAACGCCCAGCTATTTTTTTGTTGCAGTTTGGCCGGGGCTGGGTTCAAACCCACCATCATCGGTGTTTGGGGCCGGCTCCCTACTCACTGAGTCACAGGTGCTGCCCTAGCCTTTCAATTTTCCTATAACTCTTTCACATTTCCTTACTTCCATGCAAGAAAAAAGGCTATGCTGCCAGTTCACAAGAATACTCCTCACTTATCTAGGAAGCTAATTAATGAATCATAGGACATGAGGTATATTCATTGGCTCTTTCCAGTTAATGGTAATTTATTTTGGTACATTTCTAAGGGTTTCTGGAAAGCATCCTCTCTACCTTATCATCAGAAACTTCCTACTGCTTTTGACTCCTGGACAATTTCAAAACTTAGGGGTTTAGAAGGCTGGGTGATAAGGAAGGTGACATTTGTGTACAGTAAGCAAATAGTGACTAGGTTGCAAGAAACCAAATAATCTTGAAATAATTTTTTTTTTCCTATGGAGAAAGGCTCTTGCTCTGTCACTTGGGCTACAGTGCTATGAGTGGCATCCTCATAGCTCACTGTAACCTCAAACTCCTGGGCTCAAGTGAGCCTTCTGCTTTAGTCTCCTGAGTAGCTGGGACAATAAGGCATGCATCACCATGCTCAGCTAACTTTTCTGGTGTTTTTGTAGAGATGAGGTCTTCTTCTTGCTCAGGTTGGCCTTTATTTATTTATTTGTTCAGGGTGGAGTACAGTGGTACAATGATAGCTAACTGTAACCTTGAAACCCTGGGTTGAAGTGATCCTCCTGCCTTAGCCTCCTGACTAACCAGGACTAAAGGCATATATCACCATGCCTTTAGTGATGATATAATTTTAATTTTAAAACTGTAATAATTTAATAATTCTAATTTTAATTTTTTTTTTTTTTTTGTAAAAGTGAGATCACAGTAAGTTACAGTCTGTTCTTAAACTCCTGGCCTTAAGGCAGGTGTCCTCAAACTATGGCCTGCGGGCCACATGCGGCCCACCTCGGACATTTATCCAGCCTGCCGGGTGTTTTTGCCACCATTGCCTGTCCTACTTAGCAGCTGACTCGTCCTGGGGCCTGCAGTCCGGCCCTCCAATGGTCTGAGGGACAATGAACTGGCCCCCTGTTTTAAAAGTTTAAGGACCCCTGCCTTAAGGGATCCTCCACCTTGGCTTCTAAAGTGCTTAGGTTACAGGTGTGAGCCACTGTGCTCAAACTGAAGAAACTTTTAATAATATAATATCAAAGTCAAAGTGGTAAATATATCTGACAAATAGAGGGAGTGTCAAAAAATGTATAGCATTTTAAGAAAGGAAAAACTGTATTAAAATTGTTAATACTACGCCAGGCATGGTGGCTCACATCTGCCATCCTGGCACTCTGGGAGGCCAAGGTAGGTAGACTGCCTGAGCGCACAGGTTTGAGATTAGCCTGAACCAGAGTGAGACCTCTTCTCTAAAAATAGCCTGGCGTTGTGGCGGGAGCCTATAGACCCAGCTACTTGGAAGGCTGAGGCAAGAGATTTGCTTGAGTCCAAGAGGAGGTTTTGTCTTAAAAAAAAAAAAACTGTAATACTCAAGTCATGTTTGACTTGTGCAATTACCAGAGATGTAAGATACAATATACGAGAGGACAAATGTTATTGGTATATATTGAGTATTATGATTTTAATACAGGTTATTCCCTTCTTACAATGTGTATCATTTTGGGGGTACCCTTCACACTTTAACAGATAAGACAGTTTTAACAGACAAATCTCTCCTAACCTAAGATAACTAGGTTCCATTATGTAATGTCTCCTAATACTATATAGCAATATTATACATATATTCTATTAGCATTTATTATAACTACAATTAAAATATTATTTGGGGGCTTATCTATTTATTACCTGCTTCTACCACTAGACTGTAGGGCTCATGAGATCATGTAATATGTCTACCCTATTTAATAGCCTCATAAAATGAAGATCAAGTAGAATGGAAGGGCTTAAACAGGGCAAATTCAAAGCCAGGTTATGAAATGTGTGACTTAGGCCATCTGACCCTGACATATTGCTTATCCCTTTGTCTCTTACTTTTTTACGAATAAAGAAAGAGTAATGCTGGCTATACACCTACGTTAATATGAAATGACAATAAAAATGATTATAAAGAACTCTGGCAGGTACACATACAAAGACTATGAATGCCTCATAATGATAATGTGTTGTTTCTATTCATTAATACCAAACTCAATTTGGTTTTCCCTGGTACTCATTTACTTTTCCTACCTACCTCTTTATCTTATAAATTAACTATAACATTAACTTAAAAAAATAGTCCTTGGCAGAAATGCATCAGAATTAAGCAAGCAAAATTGTGTGTGACTTGGATCAGCTCACCATAACATCTGATTTAGACCAGAACAAAGATATAACATATCTCTGTCATAGGGTCTGCTGTGTTGTTTTCTTTTCTTTCCTTTTTTTTTTTTTTAAATCTCATTTACCTTAAAATCATTAATGTGTAGAAATTCATCAATGATAGATTTGGACTTCCTCTCCATCTCCTCCTCTGATAAAGCAGGTCTGTCAGGAGCTGACATTGCTGACATTTCTGGTTTCATTACTATTGAGATTAAAAAAAGGGGAAAAGTAAAAATGATTAAAATTACTGTTAAAATGGTGGGATTATGATTGGCAATGTTTATGTGTTTTTACACTGATATTGCAGAAAAGGTATTTAATAGACACAAGTTTGACAGAACAAAACACCTAAAAGTAGAATACAGAAAATTCTTATACTAGAATGGCTATGTTCTAAGTAACTTCATAATCTACAACAATTAATAAGATTTAGGGACATGACATACTTTCCTAATTAGAGCTTTGTTGTTCCTTTCTGTACTTGGACTGCTTCCCATTGGTTAGACAATGATGAGCACATGAGGCCTTCACAGTCATGCACATGTCAGGTCCTGGCTTACCACGGAGCTGAGCCATGCTGGCTTCGGGAAGCTACTTGAATATACTATACCATGGGCTTCTCCTACAACTTCACTTAGCGTGCTCCTCATACGTGGAATGCTCTTTCCCTCTGTTTCACACCCCAAACTCTGCAAAAACCTGTTTCATTCCTACTGGTATCCTTCAGATGAGGGAAGACTCCCAATATCCCGCGGCTCAATTCTAGATACTTGGTTAACTACATTCTTAGAAATAAATTTAGTTCCTTCATAGCATTTTTTTTGGTTTACATCATTTGTTATTAATTTCTGATGTAGCAGTCTAAAGTGACTCACTCACTGTGCATCTGATGAATAAACACAAAAAGGACAACTGTGCTACGTTATTCACGAAACACAAGATATTTTCATGTCCTATCCTGTTATGTTCCAAAAGTACATAGCATGGGTAAGAAAGACATATATCGGCTGAGGCAGGTAGATTGCCTGAGCTCACGGGTTTGAGATCAGTCTGAGCAAAAGAGAAATCCTGTCTCTAAAAGCAGCCAGGCGTTGTGGCGGGCACCTCTAGTCCTAGCTACTTGGGAGGCTGAGGCAACAGAATTGCTCCAGCCCAAGAGTTTGAGGTTGCTCTGAGCTGTGACAACACGGCACTCTATTGAGGGCGACAAAGTAAGATTCTACCTAAAGAAATAAATAAATAACTAAAAAATCCACATATCCCTAAAGCTGTATTATGTGAAGACCACACCAATTAGAAAAATGCATTTCAATTTTGCCTTTGAGATCCACTTAGAGACTTTTTTTAGTCACAGAGTCTTATTCTGTCACCCTGGGTAGAATGTCATGGAGTCATCATAGCTCACAGAAACCACAAACTCTTGGCCTTGAGCAATCCTCTTGTCTCAATCTCAGAAGTGGCTAGGATGACAGGTTAATTTTTCTATTTTTGGTGGAGACAGGGTCTCACTCTTGCTCAGGCTGGTCTTGAACTCCTGAGCTCAAGCAATCCACCAGCCTTGGCCTCCCAGAGTGCTAGGATTACAGGTGTGAGCCACCATACCCATGCTCATTTGGAGATTTTAGTTATCAAAAACCATTTAAATGGTGAAACAAATTGGAAAAGGTATATAAATGCTATGAACAATCAGTATTAATTCATGATTAAGATGCTAACAACTGTACTAAAATTATTATCCATCACTATGATTATGACATCTGATAACTAATAACTTTTTTAAATTTGAGACAGAATCTCACTCCGTTGGTCTTGGTAGAGTGCTGTGGTGTCAGAGCTTACAGCAACTTCAAATTCCTGGGCTCAAGTGATCCTCTTGTCTCAGACTCCTGAGTAGCTGAGACTACAGGCATCTGCCACAATGTCCGGCTAAACTTTCTTTTTTTGAGAAAGGATATTGCTATCACCCAGGCTGGAATGCAGTGGCATGATCATAGCTCACTGCAGCCTCCAACTACTGGCTCAAGTAATTCTCTTGCCTCAGCCTTGTGGGTAGCTAGAACTATAGGCATGTACCACCACATGTGGCCAATTTTTTTTTCTTCAGAGATGAGATCTAGTTATGTTACCCAGGCTGGTCTCAAACTCTTGGCCTCAAGTGATCCTCCTGCCTTGGCCTGACATGTAGTACCTTTTGAAAACTTTGTATTTATCATATAAAGGTCTAAGTATTTTCCTGTACTAACTTCTCATTTAATCTCCATAATAACCCTATAAAGTAGGTACAACTTATCCCCATTTAACAGATGAGGAAGCAAAGCTGGGAGCTGTGGCTCAAGCCTGTAATCCTAGCACTCTGGGAGGCCGA